CCTGGTCAGGGAACTAAGATCTCACAAGCCACACCGTGCGGCCAAAAACAAACAAACAAAAAATTCCATTATAAGATAGAGATTTAATCATGAAATAAATGTGACTACACTTCATGTTGAAGGTTATTGTTCATCATTGAGGAACGCCACAACTTAGTGGCATCAGGTTTATTTATTTTTAAGTATTATTAAAGTATATATATATATATATATATACTTTTTTATAATGATCTTTCTTTAAAAAATAAATTTATTTATTTATTTTTGGCTGCATTGGGTCTTCGTTGCTGCGCACGGGCTTTCTCTAGTTGCGGTGAGCGGGGGCTGCTCTTCATTGCGGTGCATGGGCTTCTCATTGAGGTGGCTTCTCTTGTCGTAGAGCACGGGCTCTTAGGCACGCGGGCTTCAGTAGTTGTGATTCGCGGGCTCTAGAGCACAGGCTTAGTAGTTGTGGTGCACGGGCTTAGTTGCTCCGCGGCATGTGGAATCTTCCGAGACCAGGGATCAAACCCGTGTCTCTTGCATTGGCAGGCGGATTCTTAACCACTGCACCACCAGGGAAGTCCCTTAAGTATATTTTTAAGTGTTAATATTTTTAAGTAAAGCTACCTCATAAGTTTGCTAACTTACAACCAAGAGAATTTCTAGCATTTTTATATTATTCTAAGAAAGATAATTCACAAGATACTTTCTAGCACTTTATATTCTTCTAAGACAGATTATTAACAAGGTAGAAATGCATAATCCACCTTTTCTTAGAAAATTGCAACAACTCAGAAATATGGCAGTAGACTAAGCTTCCTGGACTGACATGAAGATGACTTCAGAAGTATTACGGGGGCTTCCCTGGTGGCGCAGTGCTTGAGAATCTGCCTGCTAATGCAGGGGACACGGGTTCGAGCCCTGGTCTGGGAAGATCCCACATGCCGCGGAGCAACTAGGCCTGTGAGCCACAACTACTGAGCCTGCGCGTCTGGAGCCTGTGCTCCACAACAAGAGAGGCCGCGATAGTGAGAGGCCCGCGCACTGCGATGAAGAGTGGCCCCCGCTCGCCGCAACTAGAGAAAGCCCTCGCACAGAAACGAAGACCCAACACAGCCAAAATAAATAAATAAAATTAAAAAAAAAAAGAAGCATTACGGATACTTAGAAAATTTAGAATACCCAGGGACATCAATAGCCTGAATGAAAAGAATGGGATTTCTTAAATTGTAAAAATATCAGTCCTTTTGTACCATGGTGATATCATTGGCGTGGAGCTTGAAAGAAAATAAGGGTCTAACTCACTTGGGAAAGTTGATCTTGAAAGAGGTGAACTATTATAAGGTCAAAGAAATTTTATCATACAGTATGTATTGGTTAATTGTAATTTTTTAATTCATCATTCATTTTCCCACAAGATAATTGTCTTGACAGTCTTTCTGCTTAGTATTAAACATCCACAACGTGTTCAGTATTGGTTAGAACATTCAAAATATATGACCACTAACACAAAGAGTTCACATTCTAAGGAGACTTGCTTTAAAAATGATCTTCCTGGGCTTCCCTGGTGGCGCAGTGGTTGGGGGTCCGCCTGCTGATGCAGGGGGCGCGGGTTCGTGCCCCGGTCCTGGAGGATCCCACATGCCGCAGAGCAGCTGGACCCATGGGCTGTGGCCGCTGGGCCTGCGCATCCAGAGCCTGTGCTCCGCAATGGGAGAAGGCCGCGGCAGTGAGAGGCCCGCGTACTGAAAAAAAATAAAAAATAAAAAATGATCTTCCTTATAAATATGTATGTTTGATCTACTTTATTGTGTTTATCTTTTCTCTTTTCTTTGTTTTTTACATAATGGGTAAGTGAGTCTTTTCAGTTGATCATTTAAGAAGACTTGATATGTTGGTTGGTGAGACTGACGCATGGGTTTCAAGGCTGACTCTGCCATTTATTTGAAAATGACACTGAGCAAGTCTGAAAACCTTGCTAGCCTCAGTTTCCTTATCTATACAACGATGAACCTATGATACTTACCTTTTAGGGCTGTGAGGATTAAAGATGCAAAGGAGTTGGCACATAGCAAAAGCTCAAAAAGCTCTCCTTTTTGGTAGACTAAGTAAAAATAAGACAGGAGACACGGCTTTTGAGGTATATATATACATATAATTTTTTTTTTTTTTTGCGGTACGCGGGCCTCTCACCGTTGTGGCCTCTCCCGTTGCGGAGCACAGGCTCCGGACGCGCAGGCTCAGCGGCCATGGCTCACGGGCCCAGCTGCTCCGCAGCATGTGGGATCCTCCCAGACCGGGGCACGAACCCGTGTCCCCAGCATCGGCAGGCGGACTCTCAACCACTGTGCCACCAGGGAAGCCCTTTTGAGGTATATTTTTGAGAAAGTAGGGAAGATATGAAATATGAAGGGGGTTAAGTACACCTAGTCAATGTCAACTAGAATGCTTCTGAAATATGATAGTGATTACATAAGTAGAACAAACTTCAAGATTCTTGAAATCCAGTGTACACAAGCTGAAGAGATTCAGAGGTGGGTAAAAGGAGGGTCACAATCATAGCACCAAATTTTATGTTAAATAGACATTGACTTAGGTGGAACTGTACAAAATCGCCACCTTTTTAGACAAAAAATGGGTGAATATTGGCAATTTAATATTGTTCACTTAATAGATGTTCAGAAGGGAAGAAAGGCAGTAGGGGCTGTGAAGGAAAGGGCAGAGCCCTTTAGCTGCGGTGCAGTTAACCAGGGCTGTCGCTGTTTTTAATACAGAATGGCTAGGCTCCTGCAGATGTGAATCAAGTATTATTTAGTGCCCTCTTCTCTTTGTAGAGAAAAGGGGGATTGAAGATGCGTGAAGATGTCATGCCAGTGGGTCTGTAGGTCGTTGAGGCCCTTTGACATTCATGACGGTTTCCAAAGGATTTAACTTACAAAAACACAAATAAGATTTAAAAAAATAAGTGAGGAAATTGAGAAAAAGGGAAAATAAAGTGACATTCAGATCTCCTGCTGTGATGTAAACAGTGACCAGCATAGAGCTTCCTCAAATCATCTTTGGAAAGGAGAAAGTATAAATAATATCCAGCACAGCGCTTCCCTTCTTGATAAGCAACTGCAATTTCTGAGTTCCTATGTAATGTAGCAGTAAGTGCCATTGAGAGGCCGTCTTCTACCGAAAAACAAATATCTTTTAATTAACATAAATTGTATTTCAAGATTTGACTACAGTACTGGAATAGCTAAGAAAAGATGTTCTTTCCAGAGACTACCTTCATTTCCAGTCTTCCTAAGATATTCCATGACAATCACTCTTTTCAGCGTGGTCTGAGCAGGTCCTCTGAATCTGATTATGTAGTAGTGATACTTTTGGTATATGTGTCTCTTAAAAGCATTGCATTAAAAGCAGAATAGTTAGCTCTGGTAGGTTATTATTTCTTCAGTTAGATTAGATGAACTATTTTTGCATCTTGTCAGACCTGTATATGGACCAAAAATGTTTGAAAATGATTTTTTCATTTCCATTTGTCAATTGGTATCAGTGAGGAAATGAACTGAATTTCTGTGGCCAAGTACTTTGCTTTCTATGGGTGGCTAGACTAAGACTTTGTGAAAGGGGCATGGAGGTAGTATGCTTAGACTCATAAAACACATCCCCACTCCTGGAAAAACACTGAAAATGTC